AAAAAAAAAAAAGAAGAAGAAGGAGAGGAACGATCGATCCTCCGCCTCCGTCGCGAGCCAGGAAGAGGATCGATCGAGGGACGAAATCCATAGCGTAGCATCCATAGCGTAGGACGTGGACGTGGTCGACTCGACTGGTTCGACGGGCGGAAAAGGGGCAACTTATTTCGACGCGAGTCGCATCATTTCGAGGTAGAGCTGTTTTCTCGAATGTCTTTTTTATTGCCACGAACATTATGTGTGTCCGTTTCATTTTATACCACTTTTTTACCATTTATAGAAGATTCGTCGGGCGAAGCGACTTTTATATTTCCGTCACTTCTACGACCGCGGAATCCTCCCTCGGAATCGTGTAACTTCCGTTCGAAACGTCGCGGCGCGCGCGACCCCGTACGTGTTCGTGTACGTGGCTCAAATGTGGGGAGGGGGGGGAGTGAGTTTTTAGTAAAACTAAACAAAACCCGTAAAACTAAAAAAAAACACCATCGTCAAACCATAGTAGAAATCGCGAATATGTTGTAATACGTAGAGATCTATCTCACGGGATGGCGCATGATATTAGATCGGAACGTAAACGATGATTTATTCAACAATTTATGCGAGTTTTTCAACCCTCGGTGAGGGGGGTTGGGGCCAAGGAGCGAATCGAGAAATCGAGCGAATTTTCTTCTCTCGTCATTTAATTACGAATGAAACGAACGAACAGGAACGATTGAAAAAAGATAAACGCTCTCCATTCTGTTTTTAGCTGCACGCGAGCAAGGGGGAAAAAAGCAAGCTTTCGAGGGAACGATTGAAGGATGGGATGAAGAAAAGAGGGAAAAGCGGAAGGGAAGGGATATACAAAAGGGAAGAGAATTCCTCGAGGAAAGAGAGAGAGAAAGAGGGAAAGGAAGAAAAGATCGCGAATCCTTTGAATCGTTTCTTCTCTTTTAATGATCCTTCTAAATTGTGTATGTCGCTTCCGCCGCGAGTTATTTCCACCGCGCGTAAACGCGAGCCCCATTCGAATTCCTCCGCGTGACGTCCTCCTATCGAGGGGAAAAAGAACGAAGCGAGAAATTGCGAGAGGATTGTCGCGACGGGTATACGCGGCGCCGCGCATAAAGCGTGCACACAGGGGGGAAACAAGCCGCGATCGCATTCATAGTCGGCGCGTGGATTAGTTTTTCGTACACACGTACACCGCCGCCGCGGTCCTTCCGTTGGAGAGGCCCTTCGTCTTCTCCCTGCTAGCTGTTCCGTCGGCTGTACAGCTTTTTGCCGAGTTAATTAACGCCAATTGTACGCCGTTCTACTTCCGTCTTTTGGATACTCCATACTTCGCGTTTTTCTATCCACCCTTCTCTCTCTCTCTCTCTCTCTGTACACCCTTCCCTCTTCTTCCTGTGTGCGATGGCGCGCACACACGCATCCGTCGAGCACACACGCATATCCCATTCTCCCTTTCCTCCTTGATTCATTCCTGTTCCCTGTCTCCGTCTACCGCTGTCTGTCGCTCACCCTCCCCCATCCCTCTTTCCCTCTACTCCCTTTCGTCTGTTCCAGCGCGTGGTTGCTGGCTGCAGACTGGGTCGTGGAAGTTTGCCATTCAGGATATCGACCAGCTGACACGCCCAACCCACCCTCCCCCTATCCCTCCTCCTCCTCCTCCCTCGCACATTCGATCTCTCCCTCCCTCCCGGCGTGCCTCTCTCTCTCTCTCTCTTTCTCTCTCGGTCTCTCTTCCCTCCCGACCGCTCTTCTCCTCACAATCGCCAAACAATCCGTTTGCCAGACGCTCTTGCTCATTGTGCATTTAATAAGGAGCTTCTTGCTTTGGTACTCTGCGAGAATTCTTTATAAAAGTAGGTAATCTTGCTCGAGGATCTCGTTGGTCGCCATCCCCCCTCGAAATATATGGAAGAAGTGGCCGAGGGATGTATTTTCGTATTTGGCCGCCCCGTTCCATCCACCCTGCCATCCACCCTGGATGTCAACACGACAAATAGTCCCTTGGGTCGCGACGCCCTTATTGTCGTTACTTATCGACAACGCGTGTTGTTTATTCCGGTAGAGATAGAAAATAGGCGACGATTTTTCGATCCGATTCGTTTTCGAATCCGAAGGAGGGGGGAAAGAGGGAAAGGGGCAAAGTGAGTGGGGAACGCAGTAGGCCTCGCGTACTACTACGCGGGGAGGATGAAGAAAAGGGACGAATCGATACCATTTCGGAGTGATTGGAACGGGACGAAGGATTAACGTTCTTTAACCCTCGTTCGTCTCTTCGTTCTGCACTGTATTTATGATGATAATTGTAAGTATATCGACGATACTTCCACGTCCGCCCCACCAGGAAGAATTATTATATATGCAATTTATATTATAATCGATATACATCTGTTACATCTCTCGAGTCTCTCTCTATTATAGCGAGAAAGGAAAGGAGGGAAAGGAACTAGCGTTTTATCGTTGTGATATACTATAAATAGTGTCTAAATAATGCATCTATCCATACGTATATATATATCGCGTATGCATTCATGCATACCCACGTGTTTCTATACGTATGTACGTTATATGCGTGTGCCTATTGTTTACGTTTAATCTATGAGCCGTGTGCACGAGGAACTGGCACGTCCAATGGAGGTGGCGGAGGATAAGGGGCTCTTCCTTAGTAGCTAGCTAGCTATAATAGGTTAGTTAGGTTAAGCTCTAAGCGAGTTATAATATACGAAAAGAAGACTTCTCGGTGATGATCGTTCTGTCTTTTTCTTCTTTTTCTTTTCTTTTCTTTTTTTCTTTCCCTCCCCCCCCTCTTTTAATTCTTCCTATGAATGGAATAATAATAACAATCAAGGTGCCGCACATCGAGAGACAAAATTGTGTCGTATACATAGAGATGGATTTGATCTTGCGTCGTTGACCGATCCAAATCGTGTCGCTTACGCGATATTTCCATTTCTATAAAAACGAATTGAATCGCATAAATGTAATATATGATAGAATGAAAATGAATATAAAAAAACGAATATATTTTCGAAAGTTCAATTTCTCGAACAGGCTACTCGAGGCGACGGATTGTTAAACTAATTCAAAATTTTTGATCGTTCAACGATTGGCAGGGTTAATTCGCGACAAGATATCGAAACGTGTTACTCTTGGAATCTTATTGACGTTTCTTCTCGTTCTGAAACGCCTCGAGGCGAAAAAGTGATAGAAGATAAAATAAGTAACAATTCCTTGACCCGCGTTATCGACGAGCACACTTGTAACTCAAGCTGAAGCACGTGTTGATACATTATTGCCTTGAAAATCGCGCGCCAGTTCCTCCGAAACCGACCACGGTCAATTATTATTGTTACCATTAATTATTTTATTAATAATTATCGCTATTATTATTATTATCATTATTATTATTATTATCATTATTATTATTATTATTATTATTATTATTATTATTATTATTATTATTATTATTGATACTATTATATATATATTATATATATAAACGTCTTAAAGATGAATAAGATATTTACGACGATCTCTGTCCTCTGGCAGGATAAAACACACGCAAATAGACAAAGAAACAAAAAAAAAAAAAAGAAAGAAAGAAAGAAAGAAAGAAAGGAAGAAAGAAAATAACGAAAAAGTGCGAACGAGAAGAAAAATGGTGAAAACGAGACTCGCGTTATCGATGGTCACCTACGTATATATATATATATATAGATATAAATAATTACCGCGTATATTATTATATATATATATTACCGAAAAATGAGACGACGTCGTTTAATCACCAGTGAGCACCATCGACGCGCGCGCGCGGGCATCTCGGCACTCGAACGAGGCGAGATTGTAAAAAAAAAAAAAAAAAAAAAAAAAAAANAAAAAAAAAAAAAAAAGAAAAATTAATGAAGAAAAGGGGGGGAGAGAAAGAAGAAAAGAAACCTATTAATAAACTATACAAAAAATCGATACATCTTGTAAATACGAGTTTTATACAGAGCGATTGTATTCGTTAAAGTAAAAGAAAAAAAAAAAAAAAAAAAAAAAAAAAGAAAAAAACAGAGAGTACCTACTGCGAAGTAATATATATATATATACATATATATATATACATATTATATATATATACATATTATATATATATGTATATATATATAGATATATATATATATACGCAAATGTAGTGCACACGAAAATGTGACTGTTCGCACATATTTAGGTAAATCACTTTTAAAAGTATAGGGGAAAAATAAAAAAAAAAAAGTAGAGACTGGAGGCACGTCGGAAGGATCGAAGAAGCGAGATGTACGTACGTTCGTTCGGTGGTTGAATGAAATTAATTTGGAATAAAATCAGTGTGAAAGAGAGGAAGACAGTGAGAAAGAAAGAGAGAGAGAGAGAGTGAGAAAGAGAGAGAGCGAGAGAGAGAGAGAGAGAGAGAGAGAGAGAGAGAAAATATTTACAATCATACGTAAAAGGAAATGGTAATTATGAAATGATTGATACGCGGCGAGCAAGAGTATTTTCCAAAAATCGACGAATCGATCGAGAATCGTGCACACAAAAAGTGAAAAGAAGAAAAAAAAAAAGAAAAAAAAAAAAAAAGAAAAAAAGAAAAACACGAAGACGACCATCATCGTGATCCACGATGAATCCACGAAACGCGTATCGCGTACGTACGCGTGTTCTCACGATTCTTTTTTTTCGCGTCGTTCAAAGAGAAATTCGTCGCGGAATTGCCGAACGATCGGCCGCAAGATCGAGAACGATTCTAAAAATAATTACGTAGTGAAGCAAACATTGATTTCTCATTGATCTTGGACGATCGTTCGAGCATACCCGAATACCTCGTTACAAGTTCGGGAAACGCGTAATTGCTC